ATCACAACTCCCATACAGGGCTGTTATAAATAAAGATTTACTTAATCTAACACAAAAATAACATGCGCTTTACAAACTGTTGTTGTAAACTGACTGTGACCAACTGTAATTGTTATTTAAAACTACAAGTTCCAAATAATAATCCTGGTGCCATCACCATGACTTTAGAACAGAGGTCCCCAAGCTTTTTGGCACCATGGACCAGTTTCTCAGAAGACAATTTTTCCACCCACAGGGGAGGAGGGGATGGTTTCAGGACGATTCAAATGCATTACATCTCCCTCTGAGATCATTAGCATGAGATTCTGATCAGGAGCACACAGCCTAGATCCCTCACATGAGCAGTTTACAGGAGGGTTCATGCTCTTATGAGAATCTAATGCTGCCCCTGGTCTCACAGGAGGTGGACGGAGCTCAGGTGAAGTCAGGTGGTGATGCCAGAGATGGGGAGCAGCTTTAAAAACTGATGAAGCTTTCCTGATTCCTCCGTCATTCACCTGCTGCTGTGTGGCCGGTTCCTAACAGGCCACAGGCTGGTACCGTCCATGACTCAGGTGTTGGGGACTACAGCTTTAGAGGATTTGCTCCAGCCATTCTGTGTGGGGTGCGTCAGTGTCTCTATCAATCAAATTAGACGTGGGGATCAAGGACTTCTCTGGCATGTATCTGAGGATCAGTGACATAAGGAGAGTAAAATTAATATAAATTCTTAGGGGGAAAATGCTGTGTAAATATAATAATAAAAAACTTTCTAAAGTATTTTTAAAAGTCTGAGATTTTTTGGAGCATAAAATAGTTATGCAATGATATTCAGTTGTTTATTTTTTGGTACTGATATTTTATAATTCCTTTTGGATAGAAAATATATGCAAAGAAAAATCTACATAGATTAATGAGAGAATTAGAGATTTTTTTTTTCATTTTATTTTAACAGTCCCAGTTGTAGGCATCTATTATAATGGCTCTCTCTCTTTTTTTTTTTTGTTACTCTAATAACCACTTTGCTAAGGAGTTAAGCTGCCAGAAAACTACTAGGAAATTATTTTGTCAGTACATTTTATATGACATGACCCCGGGGGCAAGGCTGAAGGCAAAAATCACCAAAAAATAATAGTCCATTTACTGTGCCAAACAGTTTCTTTTCTACAGTTACAGATGCCATGGTGAGAACTCCAGCTGTAGCAATTAAATATTCCTGTCATTTACCTTCATTAAAATATTGTTCAAAAAATTCATTATGATGTAACCACCGCTGATGCTACCAACTTGCGTGACCTCGAGCACATCATTTCACCTCTTGGGAACTTCCCCCCCCCCCGACTTTTAAATAAAGGGGTCTTAGTGGCTTTAAACTGGGGAGACACTGCCCTCCAGGGGCCTTTGCAAATGTGTAGCAGTGTTTAATGGTCTGGACTGAACAGTACTAACCCTGCAGAGAGCATGGGGAGCTTGCAAAATGAAGAATTATCTCACCCCAAATAACTTTGTCAGCCTTGATTATCTTAATGTTTCTTCTGAGAGTAATACTGCACGTCCATCCATTCCTCAAGTCATTCAGCCAGTAAGTCTGGTGCCCCCACTGGATGCTGACTACCAATCACCCCTCGCTCAAATGTTCCAAAACCTTCTTCCCCTTCCCTTGCCTAGAGAACCACCTAACACTTACATATAAGGATTGTTCAAGTCAAACCATTAATACAATAGATCTCAGGACTCTGTGTGTTTGGGGTTTTCTAATGACACTAAGAACCAAAAAGGCTCATGTCAGCCCCCTCCAGTGATTGGATGTTGGCCTGGTTTGCCCTCAATCATTCAGGAATGGAGACTGTCAGTTCCACTGACCAAGGGCTTCCAGCGCCGGGTAATCCCCACTGTGAAGTGTGAAGCTAAACATTTCAACTTGATTCAATCATTTTTAATTTTTAACACAAAACACCAACTGTTTTATGCCCGGTGAACATTTTCACTGACAGCCGAAATTTCCTAATATACTTAAATAGTATCAGAGGCTAGCTGTAAAACGTGCCTTAGAGTGCGTTACCACATCACGTAGCATCATTAACTCACATTGCTGATTAACTGCAGTGGGCAACTGTGTGCTGTAGTATGATACAGTCCTGCCTGCCACACCCCTGACTGCCACACATGGCCCCTGGAGGAGTGCTGTGACCTTTGGGCTCAGCCCCCAGCCATCACATTACCACTTAGCATTCACATGATCTTTCCTCACCTTACCATCTCACTGCAACCCCAGAGACAGCTTACTATTCTGAGTGCTTGTTTCATTTTGCAAAGGAGAGGACAGGAGCACAGAGAATCATGTGGCTCTGCTCTGGTCACAAAAAGCTTTGGGAATAGAGAGGATTCTGAGTGCTATTTACAGAGCTAAGAAGCCCCTCCGACCTTCGGGATGCTTTGTAGATATGCAAACTTTTTTCAGCCTATAATGAATCTTGGAGATGCCATTTTGATGTTTCTGATCATTAAAAATCTTTGCTCCTGAGCCCAACAACATTCTGGGTGCTGGGATTATAGTTCTGGCCTCATGGACCTTCACACAAATGGGAAAGTCAGACCTCATGCCAACATTTCCATATTACCAATTAGTTTGTATGACAAGGGGAAAGTGCAGGGTGCAAGGAGCACATCAAACAGGACCTGACCTAGCCTGGGGATCCAAAAGTGTTTTTTTATTTATGTATTTATTTATTTATTTTTGGACACAGAGTCTCACTTGGTCACCCCTGGTAGAGTGACATAGCATCACAGCTCACAGCAACCTTAAACTCCCAGGCTTAAGTGATCCTCTTGCCTTAGCATCCCAATAACTGGGACTACAGGTGCCCATCACAGCACCTGGCTAGTTTTAGAGATGAGGTCTTGCTCTGGCTTATGATGGTCTTGAACTTGTGAGCTCAGGCAGTCCACCCAGCTTGGCCTCCTAAGGGCTAGCATGAGCCACCGTACCCAGTCCCCCAAGAGTGTTTCTTTCTTTTTTTTTTTTTTTTTTTTTTTACAGTTTTTGGCCAGGGCTGGTACCTTACTCCTTTGAGCCACAGGCACCCCCCTAAAAGTGTTTCTTGATGAGGAGGAAAAGGAGACAGGAAATTCAGAAATTAAGGTGGTGCATTCCAAGGGAGGAGAGTACATTAGTACAGGCCCTGAAGCAGGAAAGAAGGGCTTATGCCAGGTAGGAGAGGATGCCCACTTAGTCTCCGTGGCAGAAGTGGGAGAGGGCAATGTGAGTAGATTGAGAGATGCTTGGAATATGGATTTGGCAGAACTTGGTGATCAACAAGATGTGGGCAGTGAGAGTAAAGGTACATTAAGTTTCTTTAGCCCTTGTGTTGAGTGCTGGCTGATAGGGGCCAGTTTAGTATTCTAGCAAGGAGTTGTATGAGGCATTTAGGCAAATCATAGATTTCTCATCTGGTATATGGAATTTGAAGTCCTATGTGGAAAGCCTGCCTGAAACAGCTTATCCAGAGCTCTTACCATGGTGTGGTGGAGATTAAACCAGCTCTGGTGCTCAGGGCACGTGTTTGGAAGCAGGGTTACAGATCAGCATTGAGGGCCTCATAATTCACAAATATTTGATATGTTTTATCTCTGAGCTTCACACTAATCTTTGGGGAAACTTGGGGAGGCTGTTATCTTTATTCTACTAATAGAAAATTGAGGTTTTCTGAATTTGCGATTTTTGTAAGGTCACACAGCTATAGGAGGAGGGGCGTGGTACTCAAATTAGGGTCTTCTGGCTCCTGACACAAGAGTCTTCTCATTTCGTCACATTGTCTCTCCACATGATTGGGGTGGACTCATCAGCTCTTAAGGCTTCTACATCATACGCAATCTTACTACTTTTGTAAAATATATAAAAAATGAAACCAAAGCTTTCTATACTTTGCTCAATCTTTGTTTAAAAATTTTTTTCACAACAGTTTTATTAAAAGTATTTGTAAACGTTTATAACTAATGTTTGTATCTATATTTAGAGTAATTTGTTTTAAGAGTGAAATGCCAGGCATGGTGACTAATGCCTATAGTACCAGCACTTTGAGAAGCTGAGGTGGGAAGATTGCTTGAGCCCAGGAGTTTTAGGTTGCAGTGAGCTATGATTATACCATTTTATTCCAGCCAGGGTGACATAGAAAGGCCCTATTCCTTTAAAAAAAAAAAGTTTTTAAACCCTAACAACAACATTGGCTGTGCATGGTGGCTTATGCGTGTAATCTCAGCTCTCTGAGAGGCCTAGGCAGGAGGTTTTAAGCCAGCAGCTCAAGACCAACCTAGACAATATAGAGAGACTCTATCTCTACAGAAAGTTGAAAAATTACCTGAGAAAGTTGGTACATACCTATTGGCCCAGTTACACAAAAGGCTGAGCCAGGGGGCTGGCTTGAGCCCAGAGGTTTAAAGCTGCAGTGAGCTGTGATCATGCCACTGCACTTCAGCCTGGGCAACAGAGTGAGACCCTGTTTCAGAAAAAATGGAGTGATGGACAGATTAACTTTTACTGGTAGTAGGAGACAGTATGTGGAATAAATTAAATTCAACTTTTGTCTAAATTCTAACAATTTAAAAAACATTATTAGATCTCTGCACTCGTATGTGTCATATGCAGATCAATTCCCAAATCAGCAGGGCATTCTAAAATGGCTCAGAATATTCTCCCGGGTGCTCCCATGGAGCCACTCACAGCTCTGAAGAAGGCAGGAGGCAAAGCTACCCCAGCACAGTAGAGACAGGAGACTCTTCACCACCAGCCTGCCTTGGGGGAGATTTGCCTTCTCTCTTTCTTCTCAAGGCTAAGGGGATGTTTACAATTAAGTGAAAAGTTAAGTTAATTTCCATGTATTACAGAGATTGTTTTAACTGCATCAATTCTGGGTCTACACAGAAACTCAGGTACAAGGAAAACACACAGCCCTTTCTACAGAGCTAACATGGAAGGCTTCGCCCTAAACCCTGTTGTTGTTTATCTTCCTCCCTCTCGACAGCTCCTGGACTGTTTTGTGATCCCAGTCGTGATCCTGCTCTCCTGGTTCTTCCTGCTGATCCGGTACAAGGCTGTGCATTTCATCGGCATCGTGGTCTGCATCCTGGGAATGGGCTGCATGGTGGGAGCAGATGTGCTCGTGGGAAGACATCAGGGAGCAGGTGAATCTCTGAATGTTCACCAGGTTACCTACCTCTTTGGGTGAAGCCAAGGCAAGAAATGGAAGTTTCCCAGTCGAGTGGAAACAATCACAGCTTAAATAATAGACCTGTAAAGTGAAGCTTTATGATTGCTGTGATTCTGCTTGGTGGGGGGGGGGGGGCTAAGCCAAGGTAGTTTCCAGAGAACCCTTTTTAAAGCATTGCAGTTCTTTAAAACATACCAAAATGTTCAACAGAAGAGCTCTGGGAACAGAAAAGAAAGACCAAAGTTGTTGATATCAGGAATGGGATAGTTCTTGGAATTGTCCTTTCTTCTGGAAATTAGATGATAAAGAGTCAAAATTGTGCCACTTTTCTTTGTGAAACCAAGTCTTCTGAAGTCACAATGTCATTTATGTTGCACCATAGAACTTTATAACTAAAAGCTACCTTGTCAGCTCCTTTATATTCTACACACTAGAACATCAAGATCCATGCAAGCCAAGTGAGCTGCCCAAGGTCAGAGCTGACAGAGCAGAGACTCAAATCCAGGGAACCCAGGGTCCCTGGTCTCCAGGGCAGTCCTCTTTCCCTCTGTCAATCTGCTGGGAGCTGGAGATATAACACAGAGCAAAAGAGAGATAGCCTTAGCTCCAGAGTTACACAGGCTGCACAACACCATCAGTCCCTGTCTCAGCAAACAGATGAAAATACATACCCCAGGACTTCCCAGATTTTCTTCTGTGAGATGCTGGTTCCATGGCATATCAATAGATATCACTAAGAAGGCCAATTTTTTAAATATAATAATCTCAATATGGATCATCTCTTTGGACTAATCAGATAGTATTTTTATCTGGTCTAACCTGGCCAGTTGTTCAAAAGTCCCAATTTAATTACACTTTTTCAGCTTTCCATGCACTGTACAAAGCAGAAGCCTGTACACTTAGTCACGGAAACTCTGCCTTCCTGAACAGCAGCCATTCTCCCTGGCCATCAACTCGCATTCTAAAGTCAGGGGAGATAATTGTCCTGATAAATATGAACAAGTAAGCCTAGAATGTTAAGCTAACTCGAACTGATTTCACTAGATTGTATTCACTAATCTTGTAAAAAAGTGTTTTCTTGCTTTCAAATGCAGTATTATGGAAAAAAAGTAGACTGATTTAAGAAAAAGAAAATAAGTCCATTTGAGGGACTTTCTAAAGTGATCAGTTTTTTAAAACAATGTAGACAAACAGGTAAAATATATTGGAGTAGTGTTTCATCCATCCGCATGAATCTTTCTAAAATCCACACTGTCACTGGTTTTGTGACATATGCAGCACCAAGAATTAGTTGAGTTGAACTCCATCATTGTGGAACACCTCTGTGTTGCAGAAATGGGCCCCAAGTACATGGTATGATGTTTTAAGACCATCCCAAAGGATCCCATCCCCAAACCACAATTGGATAAGCTTTAGCTCTATACAAATATAAAAGTAGGGACAGCAATTTAAACTATCATATAAAATATTTTTATCAAAGAAAAAACAGACACTGGTTTTGAGGTCAATATAATCCTAAAATTGGCATGTATCATTATCGAAAATATTCCATTTGTTTTTACTTTTATGGTAGAGTTAGTTCTATTGCATTAATTCGCCAAGGTCATAAAACTTTTTTAAAATACTGCAGGAACTGGCCAGAACTTTACAGGCATCCAACTCAATAGTAATTCTTATCACCATATCGAGAGCTTTTCACAGGAAAGCAAAATATCTGACTGCTCCTTTTTATATTGCTAAAGCAATGTTTCACCTTAGTGTGGGATTTTGACAATTGTGTCTCCAAGGATGTTGGGGTTGACCCTTTCAAAATGTCTTTGACTTCATTATCAGTAAGGTAATTGTTTTGATTATACTTTGTTAGTGTGTATCTTCATCAGCTATCCAGGAATTCTCATGTTGATTCAAGTCTAGCTAGAGGAAACTTTTCAGATGGCATCAAGTACTCCAGATATAAAATATAAACGTGAAGGTGCAGAATGATGTGTCAGGAATAATGCTTTTGATGAAACGTGGCCAGCAAGTTTGCCCACCATAGACAGAGGTGGGGAGAAGGCAGCCAAGCCCACAGCCTGGCAACCTTGGTCTTGGAGCCTATGGAGTGGTATTTATAGTGGGAAGGAGGCAAAAATCACTTACATTCCAAATCTGTGCATGTCCCAGATGTAGCTATACCCACTATAGGAAGTGTCCACACTTTTGCACTCACTTAGAAGATGTCTTGTCCAAATTTCTCAGTATCATTGGAAATCAGTGACCCTAATCTGTGCATTCCCTTTGTGGCCTTGGCTTCATCCATGTCAGCAGTATAGGGCTTTTCTGAAAGAGCATTTCTGCATTTACTGATATGTGGGGGAATCGACATGTGACAGAGGTAGCTCCTGAGACTATAACAGAAGTTGGAGTACGTAAAAATGACTCAGTGAGGCCAAAGAGATACCACCCTCTGACTTTCCTATTGTCCTAAGAAAACTTATGGGTATAAAGGGAAAGGTTATAGTAAGTTATAATGGGATTAAGAATAAAAAAACAATTAAAATAGCTCCTTATTAAAAAATATATTTCTTCTCCTTCATAATGTTCTCTTTCTACCATAACACATTCACTGCATCTTACCTTTTATTTATCAAAGATGTTAGGCACCCGTAACAATTTAGTATTATTAGGCACAATTTTATATGTATTTCTAGGAAAAAAATACTTTCAAGGAACCAGATAATTAAACACAACCAAGTAAAGGTGACATTTTTGTTGAGTGCCCGCTGGTGGCGGGAATGTTCTCATACATTATCTCATTTAATCCTCCTAACTGTAAAAAGAAGTTTTATTTTCATTCTTGCTGCTGAAGGAATCAAGGCTCAGAGAAGATAAGAAACTTGTGTACAGGCACATCTTTACTAAACTGCGTGGCCCGGAGGTGAAATCCAGCCGGTATTCTTTCTGCTATACCACTTAATATTTTTCCATAATTGAGATTCCAAGAAGGAAGAGAAGTATTGGGTAGGATGGGCGTTTCATAATTTTATATCTGCCTATTAACCCCAAATTTGCAAAATATTATCAGCCATTATGGTTTTATACACACATAAATGACAGATTTTCTGAGCTTAAGTTTTCCCATGAACATCATATAAAAACTATTACTACCATGTCAAATATCTACTGCATTAACTGTATAAAATACAGGGAGAAATATGTTGTAACTTTCAGTAATAAGATACAAATCTTAGATACAAAATATTCATTCTAGTACTTTCTTACATTTTGCATTATACCAAACACCTCATTTTATAATATAGTAGATGAAACTTTGTTCTAATTTAATTATATTTAATCAAGTAAATGTTTAAATGCTATATGTTGTAAGTACACACTCCAAATGATTTTAAAATTGACCAAAAAATTCCCAGTGAAATTACAATAAATAATATTTAATCTTATTGTCACTGACAACTTAGAGAATACTTCTGAATTTAGGGTCACACAAAATTATATTATTGTTATCAATATTTATCACTGAATTGGTGAAGATTCAAAGTACTTGTGGGTAGATTTCTCATAGTCAAAGACCCGTGATCAGAATAGGATGTAACTGTACAGATGTGGAGTTTGGAAAACACAGGTGAGACTATTCACTCCAACAGTGTGTCTTCTTAGAACTTTTAAAAGATTGATGTTTCCCTCATTCGATTAAAAGATTCCATTATGACTTAGTTTTCCTGAATTCATTCATATAAAATTAATTTCATTAAGCAGCCTTTCCACACTTCACCAGTACAACAATAATTGATAATCATAATTATGACCCCATGTCATCACAAGATTCTGATCTTGGGAAAGGAGACTGAATCAGTTTCATTATCATTTTATAATTTTTGTTATAGATGTGTTTTATTTTATGGGTCATTCCTCAAATGAACTACTTAAAATTAAAAATTCATCATTATTTTATAGCCGACACATGAAGAAGATGAATTGGGTTGCCGAAGATTTCATCCTCTGTCACGGCAACCTTGATTTCCCTAGAAGATGCTCCTAGGGACCTCCTCCCATGTCTGGTTTCTCGTCAAGGTCTCATCAGGTTCTCTGATCACCTGCTGAGCAGGGATCACTAACTCCCTGTGAACCCAGGGCCACTACCTAGCAAATGCTCAGTATTCCTCATTGAATGGTGAGAACCCAGGTCTACAGTTCTAGATTTTCCAGCTAGCCTGGGAATGCCAAGGCTATGCTGATTCCATCCTTAGAATCTGTCTGGAGTGGGCCTCCTTCCCAGCCCACACCTCCAGTGCCCAGGGCAGCATATCTGCTGAGCTCCCACTCTACTGACTTGCCCAGGACTGAGACACGTGGAAGCAGGGCCACCAGTGAGGCTGGACTCGCTGCTTGTCTCTACTCCCCTCTTTTGCTGGCTTCACACTTCCTGGAGTGGGAAGAGTTTCCCTCATTATAGGAAATAGCAGGGCTATTTATTAAAAACTGGACATAAACCAAAACCAACCAAAATCAAATTTATAACAGATAGATTTTTTATGAAAAAAGAAAAATATTAATGTGATAGTGGATTACATATATTTCCACTCTTACGTTACTCAAGGACAGTTGAAACTTTCAGTCCATAATTCCCTTCAGTCTCATTCTTTAAGCAAGTATACATTTTGTCCCTGGTTAAAAGGGAGTTTTTACTGCTCCTGTTACAGCTTCTCTCCCTGTAGAGCAAAGGGTGGAAATTCACACTGATTGTCTTTTTTCTATACCGTGTTCACTAAACTGTTGGACATGCCCTAGAGCAAATAAAACACTGCCCATATTAGCAATATTCACCGACACTCACCTAGACAGAAGACACCGGGCTTTGTATAGAGGGTATCATCTGGAAGAAACTGGTCTCTTTCTCAGCTACAGAAGACCTAACTGTGTCAACGCAGGCAAGCTTCTTACATCAGAAGATGTCTAGAGCACAGATAAAACTACTAAATCTCATTCTGAAATTTAAATGTCAGAATAGAATAGGCAAAGGAAGCTGAATTTGCTGGTGCCAGATTATTAAGAACATTTTAATGAGTTTCCCTCTGTTTCTTTGGTTCCCAGGGGAAAATAAGCTGGTAGGGGACCTCCTGGTCTTAGGAGGAGCTACCCTCTATGGTATCTCTAACGTGTGGGAAGAATACATCATCCGAACTCTGAGCCGAGTGGAATTCCTGGGAATGATCGGTCTCTTTGGTGCATTTTTCAGTGGAATCCAATTGTGAGTAAAAAGAACAAGAAATTCAGAGAGTAGAGATGATCAGGACTTAGTGATACAATTTTTTGCCCTTGGGATATAAAAAATCAAGGTGGGAAACTAGTTACCAACCTCTTGCACAGAGGGCTTATGAAATCTGCCAATTCAATATCTGCCAATTAAAAAGAAATTTTTTAGTAAATTTCTTCCAAACTTAAAAGTTTATGATACATTGTTATAAAACATTTTATGGGCTTTCAAGATAATTTGTCAAAAAAAATTAGGAGTACACTGATTTTGCCAAACCAGTGAATGGGTTATTACTTAGAGAAGTAGAAAAACTAAGCCTAAAAGTCGCAGTTCCCCAAAGGAACATTCTAGTGGTGACAACCACCACTAAAAAAAATGATAGTATTAAAGGACCCTTTTACAAATGTGTTCTTTTATTTCCCATGGATGTGCAAGAGTGAACCACATTTCAAAGGCATCTCTTAGAATTTAGCATTTCTATTTTTCTTAAAACAATGAAGATGTAGCACAGACATTCACTGAGCATCTAAAAGTCAAAAGCACCAGGTTTGCAAAAATTCACGAATTGAAACATATAAGTAACAACTGGCTATTGCCTGAGAATTTGTTGAGAGAATAAATGCCAAACAAGTATAATTTTCCATCAGTAAAAACCATAGATTTTAGCCTCATGTAAGGGGTAAAGGATGATAGTATGACCTCAAATCTAATTTCACCCAATCCCTTTCTATAAACAGGCAATTGTGATTTCCCCAAATCTCTTCTACAGAGCAAGCACTTTATCATTATATTGATTCAGTGTCTGAAATTATTTTAGAAAATATTTTGTTATTACCTTAAACATGTTTTGCAAATAAGGTGTTTTCTATAAACCCCACCCCCCAAATTTCAATATCTTGAGATACTGGTGAAAAACACAGCAAATGGGGTACGGAGATGGGAAACTGTCTCAGAAGGATTTGTGTTGGGTTCATTTTGAAAGCAGGATGCCATTCTAAAGTTCCCAAGTTTGCTGCTTCAGCTTTGTGGGAAGAAAAGGAATTGCCTGGTTCAACTATTCATAGCCTATATATTGTAGATAGATGGCACCTTTTATGAGTTATTATTCTTGAGTCCAAAAAATATGTTCAGGGGTCTAGTACTCATTTGCTTCCGTTATAGTCCCTTAGAGCTGAGCACGCCCTTTGGGGGACACTGCTGCCAACGTAATGGAGGTGGCATTAGGATGAGTTTGGCAAATGGGATACAGTAAGGGCACACTGGAACCAGAGTAATAATGCCCAGGGGAGTGGTGCCAACCTGGCCCCCTGGTCTCCTTCTAGACCGCAGAGTGGTTCTCAGAGTATGACCAGCAGGCCTGGCATCACTTAAGAACTTGCCAAAAATGTGCATCCAAGACCCCATGCCGATCTACAGACCCAGAATCTCTAGGGATGGAGCCCAGGAAATAGTGTTTTTATGGCTCTCCAGATGCCTTTTGTGTACATTTAACTTTGGGAACCCCTTCCCTAGTAAATACTCGTTCAGAAAACGGATTAAATCTGCAAGCACAGAAATTGTCAGAACCTCACCATTTGCTTTTTAGAAAGCGTCTGCAGGATCAGGAGCAAAGGCTGTGGGTAGACTTCAGGGCAAGGAGGGCAGTGGAAGGGTGGAACTGCACTGCGCCTGGCACAGCTCTCTGCGCAGGCCACACCTCACAATCCTTCAGGGATAGCGCAGGCTGCCTCCATAGGCTTGCCTCCAAGTGGCCCCAAGCTCTTTCTGAAAGTCAATTGGTTGCTTCAGTTATTTGTATAAATCTGATAAGTGAGAAGGAAAAAGGAATCTGAGTGTATTCAAATCTTGCTCATCTGGTCTGCTTTCTTTGAATTTGCAGAGCCATAATGGAGCACAAGGAGCTGTTAAAGGTACCCTGGGACTGGCAAATAGGTAAGGAGCTTGCTCACCTGAGATCTGTTTTCAGTCAACCTGAGAGATCTGTCTGAAGAGTGATGTGGGCAGAGGGTGAGGCACAGACAAGGAAGGGATTTCAAACAGTAGATAAGAGAAAATGTGATTCTCTTGTCGTGTTAGGCACTCCTGCACAGATGGAATTGTATGACTCATAATATTTCCTAATTGAGCTTCTGCCCATTATCCTCGTCAAGATGCCATTAGTTATGACACAGAAGTGTGTTATTAGGTTAAAGACCAACAAGAAGGAAGAAATGCCCCGAGGCAGTGGTAGGACAGAAATGACCCCAATTTGCGCTAGTCAAGAAACACTAAACCATTAGGACGTGCCACTTTAGTAAAGGCAAAAAACTGAGCATATCAAAAAGATATGGAAGGTAACAATGACATGGGCATTCTGAGCCCATAAAATCCTTTTCAGAAGGGAGCAGTTTGCTGTAAGAAATGGTTAATTGTCTCCAAATGGGCTTAGAAAATACCAGACATGCATTGAGCTAGGCCATCTCATTTACACCTGTTTCTTAAGTCACTTTACTAAAAAATCTAGGACAATGATTTTAAGATCCTAGTGATGCTCTGATGGTGGATCACAGCTAGCGCTGAAAGGGACTGACATTTAGTACCCTCAGAAGGTCAATGTCTCAGCTGAGACCAGTGCGTCCCCATACTGTGGCTGGCTGCTTGAGCCATGTCCAGCTTGTATGAGCTTTGATACAATGGACAGCTTCAGATCCCGTCTTTATGACAAGAATTTCCCTGCACCACTTTACCTACTGGCCCCCAGCCCCTAAGCACCTGAGGCTGACTGGCTACCAAAGTAATTCCCTCTGAAGGCACACTGTGCACTACAAAATCATCTGTCTGACTTTCCCCAGGGGTTGTCAGGGGTTATTTCTAGATATGGCAAGGGTCGACCAGCCCTGTGTCTGTCACAGAGTCCTGTCATTTCTTTTGTCTCAAATTTTGCTCCAGAATGTTATAATTAAATGAAAATTGGCGTTGGGCACAATGGCTCACACCTTTAATCCCAGCACTTTGGAAGGCCAGATCACTTTAGGCCAGGAGTTTAAGACTAGCCTGGGCAACATAGCAAAACCCCCATTTCCACAAAATCTTTTTCAAAAAATTAGTTGGGCATGGTGGCATGTATCTATAGTCCCAGCTACCCAGGAGGCTGCAGTGGAAAGATTGCTTGAAGTTTGGGGCTACAGTGAGTTGTGACTACACCATTGCCCTCCAGCCTGGGTGACAGAGTGAGACCAGGTCTCAAAAAAAAAAAAAGTCAACAGAGAGGAGGGGGCAGGGTGGGGAGAGGAGAAGAAGAAGAAGACAGCAGCAGGGAGGGGAAAGAAAACAGCTACAGGTTCCAGAAACATCTGCCTTTGTGACTTTCAAAGCCAGCAAACAAAATGTGACCCCTGCTTGATAGCACTTCACATGCAGCTGGTCCACAAGTATAAATTAATTTGATGTTGATGGATGATGGCAATGTCCAGAAGAATTTTTCCTCTCTTATGTGGACATAAGGCACATCCATGGAGGTTCTGTTATAATTCAGTGTTAGTTAAATGCATCATCAAAAGATAGTTTTATTATGAGCTCTCATATTGCCACCATTAAGATCTTAGTTCCCTGTTGTCGAGGATGAGGGAGGGCATGTCAAAGAAACACACTCCAGAGCCATCCTTTCAATTCCTGATTGGAAATGAGGCCCAAATGGCCTCCAGAGCACAGAAAGGTGACTGTAGTTCACAATTTATTGTGTATTTCAAAACAGCCTAGAAGAGATTTAGAATGTTCCAAACACAAAAATAATTGATATCTGATTAAAGTGATGGATATCCGAATTGCCCTGACTTGATCATTACACATTGTAAACATGTATCTAAATACCATATGTACTCCATAAGTATGCACATTTATTATGTATTGACAAGAAATGGCCTTGAAAATATAATCACATATTCATCCTCTTTCTGAAGCATTTGTAGGGTTGAGTTGGGGGTGTGTGACACCAGGACCCTCTTTGTCCTCATTATCACATCCTGACTTACAGCGAGGTTCCATTGTTTGGCTCAGTTCTAGGCACTTGACACGTAGTGAATAAATGTTTATTATGTGAGCAAGTGATGCATCACAAACAAAGATGATCCTGCTCTGCCCTTTCTCACCTTGCAAAATATAGGTGAGAGGAAGTGGTGGAGGCACTGGCAGGGGACTTTCTGCTGAACATTGCACTTTCTTTCTGCAGAACTGGGAGATGGCCTAGGAGCCATTGAACTCCTGGGCCAAACAGGCAGGGAGACACCAGGCCAGAGGCAGCATCCTCTCAGACCCTCCCTGCACTCCCTGGGATGTCTGTCACCCAACGCTGATCACCGTGTCCCTGTGGAGGGATATGTTGTTTTGATAGACCAGAATCCAAGAAGGTCTTCGTTTCTCATGATCTGTCAGTGGGTTTCTCCCCATGTCAGTAATCTACCTTATACAATCTCTGGGACAGTTCATGTGGTCGTCACTCTTCTAAAGTCAAAAGATTGTTTCCCCCTATGGGGTAAATAGATAAGTGGGATGGTAAATATATTTTAGATTTTCTGGACTTGAAGGCATTTTCTGAAACAGATTCTTTTATTTTCCTATAACATTGGCCAATTGCAAGATACAGAGCAATTAAAGGCAAGAAAATAATAGTTATTGTTGTTTGTTTTACTCTGCTGAACAGAAAGACTGGTGATTATCTAATCAGTAAACTAAAGTGGAATGTAGGACCTAATCTGGCTAACATGTCCTCGTGGGAGCCGGGATGTTAGAGTCAACTCAGGAACCTAGTAAATAACTTAGACACTCCCTTTATCCCCTGTGTCGGATTGCGTTAAGGGACATGTGAACAAGCGGATGTGAAAGTCAAAGTCGCAGGGAAGGAAAAGTGTGCTGGGGGTCGGGGCGCAAGTGTGCAGTGTAGGGGCCTCCTCATGTTCCATGTTGTGCTTGACGCTGGTTTGGGTTGGGTTTTGATTTTTATTCCTGGAAGCCAAAACAAGAAATTTGGCCTTTCCCTGAAGATGAAATAATGGGCTCAGAACGGACCTTAAAGATAATTAAGAATATATCCTTTTTTAAAAAACTCATGTTGACTGTGAGGCCTGAGGAGTTGAGACAACTTGAGCAGCCTCATCACTCCCTGCGCTGGGACCAATTTGCCCTCTCTGAGCAAACCCAGCCAGCCGGGTGCCCTTGTAGACTTAGCCTAGAGCATGTGTTCTGGGAGGTCGTCTAACCTGGCCATTATTTTTAAAACTAGAAGTAATCTTTTAGAATTAGTGTATTCAAAGGAAAGAGAAAGAGCAGCAGTGGGATGAGATAAAAGAAAGAGCTGAGATAAGTATACGCAGCCTACGCAGACACATGCTATAGATAGTGCACGTACACATATTAAAAAAACTCATATAGAAAGTGAGTATTTACGAGAGTCAAACAGACTTCTCCTTCAAAGCCTTATTTCCCTTCATAATAACTAAGCAATTGGTATACTAATAATTTAAAGCACGTATGGCCTGAGGGCAAGTTACTCAACCACTATATGCTGGTTGTCTTTCTTTTTTTTTGAGGGGGGGGGTTGGCTATCAAGGATAACCTAAACTGTAACAAAAAAATCACGTTTTTATTATGAAAGAAAAGTTTCTATAAACAATATAAAAGTTTGGAGCTGCACTGTCTGACCCATGCTCGTCTCTTGCCTGTTTGCTCACAGATCCATTTCTTACCCCATCTCCTGCTCTACTCATGCAAACTCCACTTTTCAACCTCACTCATAAACTGCCTACCAGCTCATTTGACCAATGGGGGACAGTAGGGGGAGACTGGAGGTGGGAGAAGGAAAGAAACCAGAGCATTTCTCCCTATTTCTCTTTGAGATGGGATCTCTGGGCATGACTGAATCTCCTGTGATTCTACCTCTGGGCTTCCCCAACCTTTGGCATCTGATAACATGGCCCCCCTTCCTGTATTTCTCTAGCTGCTGCGGTGGGGGTACCTCCCTGCTATTGCTAATCCAGGGGTTGCCTCACCATCTGCTTCCTGTTTACCCATTCAAACAACTTTGTGACTTGTGCACCATATTAAATATCCTCTATTGAACCTGGTAGGGACTGTGCTCTTTGACTAATAATCTCTATAAGCCAATTTTCTGTCTAAAGAAGGTAACAATAACTATCAGCATTACAATGGAAATTAGTTAATGTACATAAAGCACATGACACATAGTAAGCACTCAATCCATGTTAGCTGATAGTATTATTTCCAGCCTCTGTGGCTTCAATCTCTTTAGTGAATGACAAGAGTGACCAAATTCTATGCCAAGAAAAAGAGAAAATATTTCAAATAAGAAAGTGAATCTTTCTAAAAGTAGAATATAAATGTCTTAACACAATAACTAAGAAAATGACATAAAGGTTATGTTAACCAGTTTGATGAAAATATTTCAAATTGTATATGAAAACACCACACTGTACCCCATGATTGCATTAATGTACACAGCTATCATTTAATTAAAAAAAAAAGAAAGGGTTATTTACATACATTGTCTATAAATGTAGTCATTGCAGCCTATATAGAGTTCTCAGTCAAAAAATTATTTAGTTCATTTGTTAATCATGTAATCAATTGGGCAACAAGCCAGGCCTTCCGGTGAATTCCTAATATCCATTAACTTGCTAACATCCACCAAAGAATAGCGAATCAGCAACATGCAACAATACCACAGTCCATCTCTCAATTTAATTGTGTGTTTATTTGGCTGACCATGCTTTGCTTATAAAACAGGATATTCACACACAAAAATATTGTTTGACCATATCATAAGCAAAGCAATCAACTGTGACAATGTGTATGCTACTCCTGTCCCCATACATTTGAGTTCTATAGCTTTTAAAAACATGTTTAAGCTATAAACAACCTGAGAGGTCTATTTTCCTACTCTCCTTGGCTCACCAATTGGGCTTATAAAATCTGAGTCCTCCAATTATGACAGCTCCGATGGCCATTCCAGTAAAAGAGTTTGAAAGTTGCTTTGAAGGGTAGACTAGGGGATGGCGTCAGGGCATAGCTTCCCTAGGGGAATACCTTGAAGGTGACCATTGTGATATTCAGCAATGAGGTATGTAGCACTTTTTCTAGGATGCGTTCACAAACTTAATTTTCTGACTTCATATATCCAGCACTGTACTGGACAGATCCTTTTGGACTATACATAAGCATCTAACAATAAACATACTCAAAATGGAGCATTTATTTCCCCTGAAAACCTGGTCCCCCTACCCGTAGTCTCTTCATCTCAGTTTCCATGCCTCCTTCTCTCTTGCTCTCACTGCCTGCAACATTCCATTCCAGGGCTTGTTGAGTCTTCACAGACCTGGCCACGTCCCTTCTTATGCCATTCCAAGCAAAACCAAGCACACCATCAACCAGCCGTGCTGGTGCTATGACAGACTATGAAACCACACTTACTCATGGAATTGCCAGAATCATCTGATCCTCAAGGTGGATTAGATTCTGTTAGTCACCTGCTGCAAACTCCTTGGCTTCCTACCACAACTAGAATAAGACATAAATCTTCCCAAGACCCTGCATAATCCATCGCCTTCCCAATTTTACATCTCTTGTCACTGCCCATTCTGTTTTTTCTGCTGGGCCATTCTGGTCTCTGTCAGCTTCTGGAATACTTGAAGCTCTGTCTCTTCTCAGAGTCTTTTCCTATGCAGGTTTCTCTGCCTAAAAATATTCTTCACCCAACCCCTCCCGCAGAAATCTCTTTTTGGTCCCCCAGTGTGCAAGGTAAGTGACATCTCCACAAAGCAGCACCTCCTAAACCCCCATCGGGCCCCTGCCATTCTCTGTAAAGAACCCTCTTCTGCCTGCATGGTACTAGTAGCAACTGTAAGCTTCTGCCTATCCTGTTTTTCATCGTATTCCTAGCCTGTAGCAGACATCCTGGGGCATAGAGCATACTCAGTGAATAATAGTTGAATAAATGAGTGAATATAAAACATCAGAGCCCCCAAGAGACAGTCTATGCAGGATGATGGAAGGGTAGGATTCTTGAACTTTCTAGCCCAGTCACAGTATAATCTAAATCAGTAATGCCTTAAAAAAAAAAAAAAAAAGACTTTGGTGCCTGGACTGGGTTTTGATCAAGTTTGATTATTTTAGTGAGGATAGCTCTTATCTCTAGCCTGCTAATCACAGATTTCTTTTAAAATATCAAATTAATTTTTACGCCTTTTCATGTATTAACCATAAGTCATGTAGTATTTATTATATTTTTAGTAGTTTGATTAAAAGGAAAATGAACTATAAGTAGCATGAAACCCAAATACAGGAAATGTGACCCTTTTAACAAATTAAAACTTCTGTTGGAGAATCCAAACCCCTCTGACATTATAATGGGAAGATATACACCTAGGACAGTTACCCTTCTGAAATAGAAAGTGGTTGTTGTTCTATCCTCCTATGAAGGCACTTCCACCACGCTAGAGGGGGCTGTTGTACTGAGTTTGCTTACTTAATGTTTGTAATAATTCTTTTATATGAATCTGAAGTGGTTGTCCTTATACTTAGTATAAGAGGCATATGGAATGATGACTTGTGGCCTTAAGTACTTTTTTATGGGCAAACCAAATTTCTCATCACTGGTCTTCCTGGTTATGGGGACTAGGTGTCCAGTACCTACCAAAGCCTCCAAAATCCATAAAATTCAGAGTAAGCAATCTGCTCACAGCCCATGTCAGGCACATTCAATCAAGAGTTCCTTTGGAAGGCTTATTTTTATTATATTGTAATGCCCAAAGATCTGCTGAATCATATCACTCATGCTAATTCTATGCCTTCTTCTTTCAAGGTAAAGAAATGAACATTATTTTTCTACATTTCTATTGTGTCAACATCTGGGAGAAGATGAACCAAAATCTAGATTTAGCTGTAACATACTTCTTTGGGCCCTACAAAATTGAGTAGTCGGGGAATTAATATTAAAATTGTGTGACTAGGCATAACTATAAAGACAGAGATGGGAGAGTGGCTGTGTAGCATTTTAAAGGCATTGACGCCCACATGTGAGAGCTGACAGTAGGCTAGGAAAGGAGATGGGAGGGCAGGTTCTGTGTGCTAGGGAATGGGTCTGCACAGGATTTATGAATCTGGAAGACAATGACTGATGACTCATGTTCAGAGCAATGAACTGGTCTGCCCAAGGTCACGTAAGCCCAGTTCTCTACAATGTAAGCCCTTCAGTTGTAAGGGTCATGTCATTAGTTATTCATCATGGTGACAAATACATGCTGCCAAGCAGTTTTGTTCTATTTTGCAAATAAAAAAATGTAAGAGGCAAAAGAAGTTTCAAAATACAAGTACATGAGTAGCAAAAATTAATTACAGTTCAGTTGGGAATAGAATGCAGAAACCTTGATCCTGTGTTCTGTCTGTAGCCACTAAGAGGCACTCCTTCCCAGAAGAACCAAAATGTCAGCTGTGTGGAAGAAGCAGGAAGTTCATTTTTCACACACCACTTTTTACTCTTTATCTAGTTTATTTTTTGCCATGTGTTATCCAATAATAAACACCAGTGGGTAGAGAGAAAGAAAAACTGCCTTTTGTGGGTGATGAATGGTGTGGCCCATATTCCCCATCTTCTCTCCTCCCATGGATGCTGAGGATGCCAGAGGAGGCCCTGATGTTGTCCTCTCTGTCCTTCCCCCAGGACTGCTGTATGTCGGCTTCAGCGCCTGCATGTTTGGTCTCTACAGCTTTATGCCAGTCGTCATCAAGAAAACCAGCGCCACTTCGGTCAACCTCTCTCTGCTCACAGCGGATTTGTACAGCCTGTTCTGTGGCTTGTTTCTCTTCCACTACAAGGTAAGTTGAGTTGAAGATGACACGCTGCAGGAACAATGTGTATGGATAGGAAGGCCCTGATTTTGTGTCGGGAATCAGAATGCAACTCTGTCTGCTAACCCCCATGATTGGGAATTTCCATTTCAATTGTAAGACAAAATTGTCCTAAGAGACTAGTAACTATAGTCAATTGATAATAAAAGATAAGAAATAGCCAGATAAGGAAGGGCTTTGGAATAATGGGGGACAGTTGTTCCAATATCACTCAGCCCAAAGGCTGCTCTTTTTCCAATCTGAAGCTGGGAAGATTTGTAGAATTCTCACACTACAACCACAACATAGATTCTACTAGAGGCATTGGCAGAGTATGTCCTCTTTAGAGAAAAGACACAAGTCCTGCAGTTTCTGCTTTGCCGGCGTTTATATACCAAACATGAATAGAAAGTGTTAATGTACTAGAAATAGTTTATTAAGAGATTTGGGTATGCAAAAGGAATGCAGGGAGATATTGTGAAGGATTTGCAGTTAATGCATGCACTCTAAAGAAAAAAGAGACTGTCCGGTCCAAAGATGGAAGTTTCTGAACATGCAAGACTCTGCCCACATCTTCACCTGAGGCACACAGGCTCATGGATCATGGCATGCTGAAGTTAGATGCTATTTTTTTGACACCACACTCACTGCAGCCAGTAGCAACCAATTAGAATCAGTGTGTGAGCAAAGATCGCCTGCCATTCCTTCACGAGTTCTTTAAGGTAAGGGCCCATGGGGACATGACCCAGTGTGAAACAGGCTTATATAGAGTGTCCAAGAAGATAAAACAAACCAGGACAGGCAAAAGAAGATGCAGCAGCAGAAAAGAGGCGCTGCTCTGGCCACTTCTAGCCAAGGGCTTCACTGGTGATATTACGGCTACCATCACCAGCACACGGGTGTGGCCAGAGCATCTTCAACCTGGAGAAACTGGGCTTGGAGTTCCCTGGAAACATGATGAGAGGTTGTATTTGTGAGGTCCAGAGGCACAGAAGGGGAGTGAATAATCAGAGTTACTACTCAGAGAAGCCAAAGCAATAACCAAGAAACAGAGAAGGGCCAAAAGAATGAAAAAGGGCTCACAAAGGGCTGGTTAATTGCTACAAGGACTGGAAACAGATCTGGAAGACTGGAGAGGCTGAGGAAGGGGCCCTGCCAGCAGCTAGAGATAAAGTTCCTATTTTTTCCTCCAGCCTTATTGAAGTGCACGTAATTGATGAATAAAATTTACACTGTGCACAGTATTTAAAGTGTATGATGATACGATGTTTTAGTATATCACATATTATTAATATATTGTGAAATGATTATATTAAGCAAGTTAATTAACATATCCATCACCTTACAGAGTCATCTTCTTTCTGTTTGTCCAAGTGGTAATAGTTAAGATCGACTTTCTTTGCAAATTTAAAGTATGAAATGCAATACTGTGAACTATTTTCACCATGATGTACGTTAGGTCTCTAGAATTTATTCATCTTAAAACTGAAAGTTTGTGCCCCTTGGTCGACATCTCCCTATCTCCCCTGTGAGTTCCTATTCTATACAGAGATTCTTTTCCCTGTGTGGTGACAAAAACAACAGCAAGTATCTAGGACTGGACAATATGTATTGTTTGCAATTAGTTTTGTTTGTATGATGCAATCTGTTTCTCAAGCTCACTGTGGTCCTCGTAAGGGTAAAAGCCAAGTCACAGTATGTTCCCTTAGGGCTGCTCCTGACCACAGTGCTGGGGGGACCACGTTCTCTCAAAATCCCTCTTCAACACACTCAGTTATCTTCCAGTGCCCTGGAGATCACCTGGCCATAGTCTCATCACCACAGCAGGTGGCTACCACCTTTATTCTCCCTTCTTCAGTTAAGCATCCACCTCTCATCCATTCCTTCAGATGACTTCAGTTCTTAACAGTTAACCTTGTATTTGGCTTTACAAACTTCTGACCTAGAAAAATCCCTTTAGTCTTCCTTAAGGAAAGATAACTAAAATCTATTGTTCTGACTGAGGACTATGGGCAATCCAGACCCAGTCCAATTGTCAGCGTGCCTAAGGGACAGTGTTCCTAAGAGTCTGGTCTCACTGGGGTGCTTGCTAAAAATACAGATTCATGAACCAAAGCTCAGAGCCACAGAATCAGTATCTGGGGAAGGGGGAGTCTGCACTGCTACTAGACTTCCCCTAACCCCCTGAGTCAGATGCTCTGAGTTTAAGAACCCTTGTTTTTTAGGGGGAGGGTACCCGAACAGTCCTCATTTGTGTTTGAGTTGGTCACATCTCACATGTCACTGACTTTGAGTTAAACTCAGGGTTCCTCACATTTGCAGGCATCAGGAACTGAGAAGACTAATGGTCAGGTAAAGGCTAATCCTTCACAATCCATCTTCTCCTCCCGTCATTTGTATGTTACTACTTAGGATAAATTACATTGCTGAGTAGGAAACCACGTAGTAATCCCTCATCATACTGTCAGAAGGGAAGATGTGTTATCTGAAAATGTTGTATTCACCAATTTAAAGGTATAATGGAAATTTTATTTCTTACAGCAATGGGTTTTTTTTCCTATACAGATAAATTTTGTTATTTGTAAGATAAACATCCGTCAGAAAATTGATCCAACACAGTAGATATTTTTTTCTAGTTAAAATTGATTTGTATTGTTTTCGTTGTTTTGTTTTTAAGACAAGTTCTCACTCTTTTGTCCAGGCTAACATGTAGTGGCAGTGGTGCCATTAAAGCTCCCTGCAACCTTGAACTTCTGGGTTTAAGTGATCCTCCTGCCTCACATCCCAAAGTGCTGGATTACAAGCATGAGTCACTGTGCCCAGACTTGTCTTTTTTTAATTAAACTTTCAGTGTAATTATGAAGTTACATGCAGTTTTGGGAAATAATGCAGAGCTCCCAGTTACCTTTCTCCTAGTTTCCCTTGTTGATAACATCCTGCAAAACTATAGTACAATACCAGGATGTTAACATTGACACGGCCAACATGCAGGACATTTTCATGAGAGAAGTAGTCCTCATCTTGCCTTTCAAAACCACACCTACTTCTCTCTCACCCCCCGACTCTATGAAACCACTAAGTTATTCTCCATTTCCATAAAGTTGTCATTTCAAGAATGTCATATAAGTGTAAGGATACAGCATGTCACCTTTTGAGGACTGAGTTTGTTTGCTCAGCATAACTCTCTGAATATTCGTTCAGGTTGTTGCATATATCAACAGCTCACCTTTTTTCCTGCTCAGTAGTAATCCATGGCATGGATGTACCATAGTTTATTTAACCATTTAGCTAGTGAAGGACTTTTGGGTTGTTTCTCCTTTGAGCTATTATGAATAAAGCTGCTATATACATTTATATATAGATTTTTGTGTAAACAGGGGTTTTCATTTCTCCAAGATAAACACCTTATCACTCAATTACTAAGTTGTACAGTGGCATATTTAATTTTATAAGAAACTGCAAAACTATTTTCTGGAATCATCTGTTGTCTTTTATTATAAAGAAATGCATATTCGTTATGAGAAAATCAGAAAATACAAATAAATGCTGCTAGACATTGGGACCATTTTACATACATAAGATGCCCCAGAGGTTGCCCTTAATGTCTCCATAGGTAGGGAAAATAGGAAATTGTAGCTAAATATACCTTTATTCACAAAAGATTCATGACAGAATTTTATAAAGAGGTGCCCAACCCAGAGAATATTTTATAAATATTTTGAAAATTTTGTCATGAATATTTTGTAAAGAAAAGTACATTTAGCTGTAATTTCCCATGTTGCCTGTGTATGGCCACTTTAGGGGCAACCTTTGGGATACCCTGTATTTTACAGTTCATATATGTTTTATAATAAATATTTAGTTACACCACACCTATTTTTGTCACGATTTATTTAAACTAATATGTATATATTTCCATGTCATTTAATATCTCTATATAATGCGAGTCTAAACTGGTGGTTCTCAACTCTGGCCATCCATTACAATCACCTAGAAAGAATATAAAACATAGCCATGCCTGGGGCCTGACCCAGAAAGTGTAATGCTGATTAATTGCAAGTAAGGCCTTTTAGAAACTCTTCAGATGATCAGATCAAATATCCTAATATATAATCACAGTTGAGAATCGCTAATCTACAAGATAATTTTCAATAGCTACATAGAATCCCATGAACTTACTTCCCATCCGTGGCACTGTTGACCTTTTAGACTGGGTCCTCTTTGTTGTAGTGGGTGTCCTCTGCATTATATAAGATGTCTGGCAGCATCCCCTGGCCTCAACTTGCTAGATGCCAACAGAATCCTCTCCAAGAGGGGAACAGGCTGTGCCAGGAATTTCTGAGGGCTGGAGAAGGCTGGACATAGCTGTGAGTGAGGGAATGAGGATGGGCCTCATGCAGTGGTGTTGGGGATTGGACCAGTGATCTCCAGATTTCATTTGGTTTCACTACCATCTTCAGTCACCATTGATTCTTTCACTTAATGATGATGTCTTTAGTTAAGTTTCTGATCTGGTTATGAATATCTGCAAGTTGGAGGAGGGTTGTGTTCTCACAGATATTGCTTACCCAGGCAGAACTGAATGACTAAATGCAACTCTCCTGCCCAACAGTGATTAGTCGCTGTTTGTCGTTTTTTCACCCTTGGGAAAAAATCCATTCCTTTTTCCTCAACATCATTCCACTGTCTGCAGCATCTATCCCTCTTGTGCTGACTGCCATGCTGACTGGACAATGTAGCCCCCTGTTCCTGGGAAGCAAATGGCCTAATTCTAAATTAGTCTATCTGAGTGGTATAGTGGTCTCAAAAACTCTAATTTTACAAGACTTCTGAGGAGTGGTGTGCATTTCTATTCTTTATTACCTGAAAACATGATTGAATTCAGAACAGTGAATCTATAGCAATCCATGGACAGCACAGGAAATGCTTTACCGGGCCTCAGAGACCCCAAAGCCGAACCCAGGAAGAGATTAGCAGGGATGTTTTTC